ATCACGTTAGACTGAAATGTCCTACGGTACCACACATCATTGGAGGCGACTTCAACGCCCACAACGTCATTTGGGGCTACCGTGACACGACTCCTAAGGGCCACGAAATGGAAAACTTCATGGCGAGCAATAACCTGCATTTGCATAACAGCCCCGGTGCACAGCCGACATTTGACAACTCGTATCATAAAGGCTGGCCCGACTTGACCCTTTCAACATCGGACATTGTCAACAATATTTACTCTTGGACTGTCATGGATGATGAAAGCAATTCCGATCATAAGTACATCCATTTCCTCATTCAAGTAGACACCAGCATTAGCATTTTAAAAAGGTTTAAGCTTCCGGGTGGCAAGATTAGGCATCTGCATCGCATTCTCAGCGAAACTCTCAGAAGAGAAGAGATGGAGCTTAATACGCATAATGACCAGTATGATATGAATATCTACACAGATAATCTTCTCACCACTCTCAAGGACACATGCGAGCGAATTCTACCAATCAGGACTGCCAAGAAACTGCAAGGCATTACGTGGTGGACTAGGCAGCTGAGACAAATGCGCCAAAGGTGCAGAGCATTACGTCGCCGTCTCCGAACGGCTGTAGACGGCACAGAAACGGAAAGGTTGCTAACTGCATTCCGACAAGCACGGGCTACTTATAAAAAAGCAATTCTAGAAGCCAAAATCAACAGCTGGCGCAATTTTTGTACCAGCAATAGCAATCCTTACGGAATCCTGCATAAACTGGCCACGCAGAAAATCTTCCAGCCGGCACAAGTGCCAGTGCAGCCAGGGAATCTACCACAAACAATTGACTTAGCAGGGTCCACGGCCACAGCACTGCTTGATGCAATCTTCCCAGCGGATCCAGAACAGGATGACACGACGGCCCAGCGACTTTTGAGAAACTCCACAGAGATCCCAAGAACGCCAGAAGATGTCCCCATTACAATGCAGGAAATCACTCACATCTTCCATCTTCCGCCATCTACCACTGAAGAAGGCACCGGGTCCGGACGGACTTGATTATGCAATCTTAAAGGTCGCCTTCCGAGCACGGCCCACCTTCTTTCGCCTCTACTTCAATAAACTCCTGCACCACAGAGTATTTCCACAAGCTTTCAAGAAGGGACACGTGGTACTTTTTCTCAAAAAAGATAAGAACCCAATAGACCCCTGCTCCTTTCGTCCGATCTGTCTCCTTTCAGCGTTGGGTAAGATCTATGAAAAGATCATAGTTAACAGGCTGAAGTATCATATTCACAAAAACAACTTCCTCAGTCCCAAGCAATATGGCTTCCGTTCAGGTTGCTCAACCACACATGCCCTTCAACGAATATATGATGAAGTCCAGCTTAATCGCTCACAGAATCTTCAGACTGCATTCATCTCAATAGACCTCCAGAGCGCTTTCGACACCCTTTGGTGGCCCGCCATCAAGCAGGCCCTCAGAGAGGCGCAATGCCCGGAGAACATCTACCAAGTCTTTGAGAGTTATCTCACAGATAGGCAATTACTTATGGCAAACAATAATGGCATTGTTACTAAGACCCAAGTCAGAGGCTGCCCACAAGGGTCCTGTGCAGGGCCCTTGCTCTGGAACATGACATTTAACAAAATCCTCGAAGCGACGTGGCCTGATCACACAACTATCATTGCATATGCTGATGACGCGGCTCTCCTTGTTAAAGGTCGCACACGAGACGAAATTGAAGCCAATGGCAGCGAAGCGTGCGCCAAGTTCGCAAGCCTATGCGAAGACCTTAAGCTGAGGATTTCTATCACCAAGTCTTCTGCACTCCTCATCCCAAGACCGGGCACGAGGCCTGTACGTCGTCCCTGTATCCGATTACTTGGCCGCAACATTAAATTCATGGATACACAGAAGTATCTAGGAGTGGTCTGGGACTCTGGCTTAACATGGGTGCCACATTTGCAGCAACAGAGAGCAAAAACCTCCGCTATAGCCAGAATGACACGGAAATTTCAAGGAAGGAATTGGGGACTAAATCCCCACATTCAAAAAGTGCTTTATAGCACGGTGGTGGAAAAGATTGCGCTGTACGCAGCTGCAATCTGGGCTCAACCGATGACAACGAGGAAAATCAAGCAGTTAACATCACTCCAACGCCCTTTTGTCATAAGCATCTGCAGGGCATACTGCACAACAGCCACGAGCTCCGCCCTTACTCTAGCAGGTATAGTCCCTCTACACATCCAGGCCGAGCTAGAGGCGACATATACGAGAGTCCTTCACTTGAGGAAAGACGCCTCCTTCGCAGGTACTCTCTACAGTCCAGCACTTTATGAGCACCCCAAGACACCGCTGCACACACACATCCAGCGCATAAAGGACTAGGGGTCCACACCCACATCATGCAACAGCCCAACAAGGAAATACAGCACATCAGCAACCATACACTTTACACTGATGGTTCTAAACATGCTGAAGGCGTTGGCAGTGCTTTCCTGCACTGTTGGCAAAGCCAAGAATTACATCATTGGAAAGGCCACCTAGGTGACAGCAATAGCGTCTTTCAGGCAGAAGTGATAGCAATTACAGCTGCTGTTGAATATCTAATAAGCCGAAAAATCTCAAAAGCTTATCTCTATACGGATAGTATGTCTGCCTTGCTGGCCCTAAGCAAACACAACCATGTTTCCCCGTTGATCATCCGCCTTCAAAAACTCTTAAAAGATAACCCACAGGTACACGTGGACATGACATGGGTGAAAGCTCACGAAGGCAATGCAGGTAATGAGGCAGCGGACGTGCTCGCCAAAGAGGCAGCCTCAAACATCAACGCACGTCCCATCGCTGTTCCGGCGCCACCTTCCCATCTTAAAAGACTGCTGAAAGGCGCAGCAGTCCAGTGGTGGCAAAGAGTATGGGAACATGGAAACACAGGAAGAAGAGTGTATGGTTTTCTACCGATGGTGACAACGGAGAGACTCATAGCAAACGCTCCACTTACTAACTTTGTAACTGGGCACGGTCCCTTCCCGGACTACTTCAACAGACGCACTATTTCTAATACGGATCGCTGTGTATGCGGGGAAGAGGGGACACCCGATCACTATATCTTCCGGTGCCCACTCACAGAACAGCACACCATTTCCCGGAACCCACGAACATACCTGCCTTCCACAAGTTTATCCTTAAAAATAAAGCGGCAATCAACACAGTGTGCAAAATCGTTAACACCATTAAGGCCTACGGCCAAGACCTTTGCCTCCCATTATAAAACAGTGCTATTCATAATGGTCTCAGTGACTGCATTCTGCTGCCTTAACAAACTGTGCAACAATACATACTACATGCTGTATACCGCTAGTGTTTCACTTGTGGGTATTGCGTACATTCTGCGCAATGTGCCTAGTACTGCCACTGTAAAGTACTTCCTGAAACTATACTGAACTGCCACTATAACTGTGCACCTTATATGTTTTATGTGTTTAATGCAATGTGTGTGTTTAACGTAATGTTTATATATGTTTTATGCTGTTTAATGTCGCATTGTGTGTACTTTGTATCATTGTACTGTTATGTTTTGTATATTTTGTGTTGAACTGTGTTTTCTCTATGTATATTTATTTGTCATGTATTTCAAATGTGTGTGCTTAATTATGTATCATATTAATGTGTAATGTGTAGTTGTTGCGTCTGGATAGGGGAGGGTGTGGGACATATGCCTGTTACCTCTGTTAGACGCCAGGCGTCCCCGTCCTCCGTCACCTGTCACCTGTGTGGGTATTCTGTGTATATATCCATTGTACATAAATCTTTAGTGCACTATCTTCTGTTTTGTATTCTGTTAATACCTTTGTATAGGTATTCCGCTCTGTATATCACATTTTTAGTGTTGTGTACTATTTCTAAAGTTGCATCATGTTTCATGTATTTTATCAATGTATTTCATGTCTCTTGTATTTAATCAATGTATTCCGTGTCTCATGTATTGTATCATGTATTGTATCATGTATTTTGTCCTGTATTTTATCAAGTATCATGTTTTTACTAAGCTTTTGTTCACTGTCTGTACACCCTGTAGTAAGTATAGAATCTCTAGATACCTCAGTATTCCCAATATACAACACTATCATGCATTGGCAATATGCTTAAGTTTATGTATTGAGTGAAGAGTATTGGCATCTAATTACGCCTTATGTTTATGTGATTAATGTGTTGTTTTCTTTTTTTTTTTCTTTTTTTTTTAAATTTAAGACCCTTTCTCTTTATGTCTTGCACTTGACTATTTATGACATGCTAATGTAACCTGAACTGCAATGTAACACAATCACTCATCTGCTCTTGTTGCACTGTAAATACTTTTATTAATTTAAAGTTGCTGCTTCTACACAGGGGAAGGCGTGGGACATATGCCTGTTTACCACTGTTAAACACCAGGCGTCCCCGTCTTCCGTCACCTGTCACCACCTGCTCATTTTTCATGTTTCATGCTTTAAAAAAATACCTAATGTCTCTACAGTAAAAAAACCTATTCTTTAAATATGACTGCTCATATTTTCTTTTTAGACAAAACACGAACTTTTACAATTACGTACCGTGAAAATTTCGATGAGATGCTCAATCATGTTTCGAAGCATATGCTTTGTTCATTTAATTTTCTCTTTAACATTTAGTTTTTAATTAAGATGCAGTTTTAAACTATGTAAGTATTTAATTTTTCCTTAACTAAATCTATTTAATGTTTTTAATACAAATTGAAAATTTTACAGATATTTTTCGTACCAACTTTTCGTTATCACCACAATTATTATTTTCATCAGTCTTTCAGAATATATCAAGTACATTACACACATTATTTCTAATCTTGTCATGTTAATAGAAATATTAAAGATTTCTAAACCCTAAATCCCACTACATTTTTACTGATTGATATTGCTAGAAATACTGTCATCGAGATCAGTGATTTAATTAATAAAAGTTTGCTTAAGTGTTTATCGATTCTTCTCATAAACTCTTTGCTTTTTCAGGGCTGTCAGAAAGCATGCCGTGATTTTTACATGACAAAATATTGTGGATGTACGGTAAGGCATTTTATAAGAGGATCTGTTCTTTTAAGAAGTAAGACAGATATCACTTTCTGCAGCGTGGCAAATGAGACACAGCGTAATATTTTTTTTAATCTTAAAATGATGTCAATTAGTATTTTATTAATTACTTCAGGAAATGTGCTTTAGTAAAATTTTCATAACTCTCTTGTATTTTTTTAAAGATTTGTGTATGAAGCACGTAAAAAAGAGTATTGAAGAAAGGGAACTTTCTTGCAATTGTAAACCTCCATGCATGTAAGTACGATATTTTAAGTAACTATACTACCAATAATTTACTTATTAATAATGAATATACAGTCAAATTCCCTTATTCCGAATCCCCATATATAACAAGCGAACGTTTTAGTCATATACACTTAAAGTTAATTTATGTGGTTATAGCGAAATTACAAATTTATGAAAATTGATATAACGAATTTTATAGATATCGTTGACTAAAACATTTTATAACAAATTTCTTTTTCTTTTTTTTTTTTTCAGAATTACCACAAGTTTTAAATGAAAAATTATTGACTCTTTAAGTCATTTATTAGAATAGCGGAAAACACCTTTACGTTAGTGTTTTTACCCCATCACTCTCTGTGTTCTAATTAAGGACTGTATCAGGCGAGTGTATCTTTAAGTTCTTAGCAGGTGCAACCAAGACGTGATTTAATTAGTATATTTTTGAGATTGTATGGTGTCCACGACCAGTGAGTCAAAGAATTTAAGTGGTTTCTCTAATTCTATTTAAGTTTTTTAATTGAGTTATCAAGTGGAACTCTGCTCAAGACGGATTCTATGATGGGGATTTTGAAATTTTTGCCGTATGAGGGAAGAGAAAGTAATAAATAGGTTCTTATGAGCTTGGGGCTATATAGCCTCTTCGTATTTAAGGGAATGATATTTTTATCCCTATTGGATTGTTTTATTTAAGTATTTAAAACTTTCTGAAAGTTCTGTCGTCTGAATCAGAGAGGGGGAATGTGGTCGTCTTTTTTAATATCATTTACAAGATTTGTAAGGGCTACTGTACCTTTGTGTCACAACCATCCATGGAGGGAAATGGATGCATTCATTCTCATTGGAGATTGGATAGCTTAGATTAGAGATGAAATTATGCTCACTTTTCATATTTTACGTAAATACGCAACTTTACATACCCTTTTACTAACTTTCTTCAATTTGTACTAGGAAAATTTTCAGTGCCAAAAATTCATTCGAATGTCCAGCAGTAGACGTAGAAAATTCTATATTGAAGGTAAGGGGAGTGTTATTTAAAAAGCACTGAATGGATATAGTCAAATCGATATTTGTCAGGAATGCAGTGTATCTAAATCTACGTTTGGTAGCATGTGGAAAAAACGAGACTCGTTAATTTCTATTGACGGATCAAAAATTGGAAGCAAGGAAAATGTTTAAAAATGCTGAGGATAATGATGTTGAAAAAGGATTACTGAAATAGTTCACTATTCAAAGAAGCCGGAATCGGTTATTATCTGAACAAATGTTGAATATATATTTTAGATGGAGAATGTGCAGTTGGAGGGATGTGTTTAAACATTGACTTCTAAGCTAAGTAATTTATCGTGTAAAATTATTAATGTGTAGTGACACTGAAAACAAAAAAACGGAAATTTGGTAATTGCGCGTATTAATAACTGTAATTAACCTTTAATAAGATTTTTTTTACTTAGAATTATTTTTCACTATTTTGCACTTCTTTTGGGAGATGTGGTAATGCTGATCAACCTTTTTTTTGTCATTCGCTAATCAAATTTCCCACTATTTTTTGGGCTGTCCTTTTTTGTTGTTAGAGAAGATATAAAGAACCAATCTTTAGATCCGCTGAAATTCTTTATAGAGGGATTCGACTGTATTTTCTGGGGCACAAGAATAAAGAATAAATTTTACTTTATATTGTATCTATTTTTATATATATTTATCTATATATATTCGAGGAATATTTCCAAAGTTCTCCAGATTTAGGTTTAATTTTTTTTTTATTTCGTTGACTTTCACCAATATTACAATGCAGTTTATCCGCATTGTCCGCATTTAATTGAATGTATTTATCCAAACGAAAAACTAATTTTTTTAAACCGTTCTGAAAGAACTTCTTCTGTGGGTACTTAATCCACCTTTTTTATCGCATGGTTAAACTCTCAAATAACACCCCATACAAGTGTATGTATTTAAATGTAAGATTAGAAGATTTTTCTCAGATGTTGAATAATTTTTTTCACACCTTTTTTCCACAAAAAGAAAATTATTGCTATTCGCATCTTATATGGTTCAAAAAATAGTGCTACAAAATTCACTTCTATCTGTTAAACAACTGAATCGGTGCTATAAAAATGCGCTTGTATCTGCCAGACAACTGAATCACTCCAAACAATATTGAATGGAAAAGCTGCATGAACATGTCAAGACTTGTCTCTGGAATGAGCTATAGGAATTGAAATAGAGCTCAATTCCTAGAATCCTTCGTATATATTTATATAAAAAATTTGGCATTAACTGAAGTACGAAATATAATAATTTTCTAGCAAGAAAAGAACACACTTCCATAACAATAATTTAATAATTTTACCCTTGTTCGTTTGAAAAATGTTCACAAATATTAACTTGCATGATTTATTGCCTAACTCATAACTTTGCTCATTTGGAATTATATACTATCATTTTTTCCGTTATTGGTGTGCTTTAAAAGAAAAAATCATAAATTTGATTTTAAAGAGAATAAAAAAATTGTGCATCCAATAAAATAAATGAATTTCTTTCTACAGAAAATGTATTTTACGTTTCTTTATAAAAGTTAAAACAGAATTCATTTATTGCTTCTAAATTAAAACACTTTTTAGTTTTTCTCTTTAACATGAATTTATCATTATTTTATATTTCGAAGCATTCGTTAAATGATTTTCACAGCTATTGTAACTCTAGAATAAGATTATTTCTCTTCAAAAGAAAAAGAATAAAAAAAGGGAAAAAATAGCCTTCAATACAATATTTGTTTACATAAATTATTTCTAAAGTAGAGGATACAGTTATAAAATTTGAGCTCAAAGAAGAAAATATGCTACGATTGGAAAACAGTGCACTTATCTTGAGCTGCAGGTTTATATGTAAATGATCCCATGCAATTGTGCAGTGATTGTGCAGGATTGCACACCTTGCACAAGTACTGAAAACACGAAACCAGTACATATTAGACACTGTATAAATACGAAAAGGACAATGTTATGCTGACAATGTTATTGTTCAGCTGATGTCAATTAATGAGGAAGTGAAGAAAGATCGATAGAAAATGTTAAATGATGATAATGCATTCTCATAATTTTGACTCCAGAATTTACAGAAAATAATTTCATATCCTTATTTACACGGACTTAAGTATAGCTGCGTCACATAAAACAATCCGAATGTATTGCTCAAATTCATGATGAATGCCACTTCAGTTCATTTTCCCATTCTTGAAGGAATCTTATCATGCTTCAGTTATGACCATGTTGACCTATTAGAAAGCTATCACACATTCATCTGTTTCGGGCAAACAACGTGTGATGGGGCCTTTAGCTATATAAGCACATATGCCAGCTACTGTGTCCTATGAATAATTTCCAAAAATATCTTGAAAGCTAACATGTGATCCCAGTGTCTCTTACATGCACTGCATTTAATGGTGGACATAGTCGGCTCCGTCTCTAGCTATGCCATCCCACAGCAAGGTGGAATGCTACACAGTAACGATGATTGTTTAGCAATTACTGCTGCTTCGTTTTGGGGAATATGATCGTTCTGCCCAGGTGTGAAAGACTCTTGGCCAACGGCGCAGTATCTTTCAGCAGTTCTTTTCTGCAGTAACTTTCTTGCATTTAATTTGAGATTAGCAAGAACACAAAGTGAATTTCAATTAGTTTAGATTCATAAGTTGATCTTTATGAAAAAACAGTCTTAATACCCCTGTCAAATGCAGTTCCGCAGTATTCGAGAGAGAAATTGATACTACTAAAAAGCTTCGTTTTGTAAGTAGAAGGATATAAAATTCTTTGATTAGTAAACGAAGTCACATTTTACTGTTTATTTACCATTAGATGACTATTTATGTTCTACTTTTATTTTAGGTTAGCTCTGTTCCCTATACTCGGAAAATTTATTCTAGCATTTAGACAGAAAAGGGACATAATTTTAAAATTTAAGACATTAAATTATCTATTTTCTTTCAGTGAATACCAATATAATACTAAGGTGTCTTCGAGTAAACTGAATGAAAATTATTACAAAGCCATTAAATCTATTCAAACAATTGTACCTGGCAATGAAGGAAAACTGAAAATGATCAACGCTACGGCTGGGTAAGAAATTCCTTCTATAATCCCGTTTATTTTGCAAATGTCGTGAAATGTTTACTTTTAAAGTTCTTAAATTGATTGCGTTATATATTCAGATATTTGATTTCAATTTTGTGCATTTTTATGTCAAAAGTTTCATAGGTTCATTTTATAATTGGAGCACGAAAGGTATTCATTTTCATATTTTAAATACAACATCTCGATGCTTTAACATGCAGCCAGGATTATCGAAAATGTGGAAGTCTCACAGTCACCGAGGTTTCAACTGAGTTTGTGATCGCAGTGGCTGAATATAAAAAGGCTGATATTTAGTAGTAGTAACTAAGTAAAATCCACCTGCATGGCCAGTGAACTTGAATGTCACTTCTGTTGCAGTGCAGATGCAAACTCATATCTCGCCAAAAATTAACTCGACTTTTGAATTACAGAGGATTATATATTCGAAAACTGAATGCCTGAGTGGCGCTAATGACGACGCAATGAAAATCGTACATTTACAATAGCGTCAGACCTACCGATGTTGGATAGCTTTTATCTTAGATTCGATTTACTTTGCAGGTCGCATTTCTGGCGTCAGTTCATTTGGCGGGAAAGGTGTGAAGCATAGTAGCAGAGATGTATGCAAGAAAGATATTGCATTTTAGGAAATGTAATGGGCTGACATCATGATTCATGAACATAAGGGCAACTACTGTTGCTAAACAATTAATAGGCCATTACATTTGCTTCACTGGCAGAGAATTTCTTTTGATAATAATGTCATGCCTGATTGAATCAAAGCAGTCCAGAATATCTGTTAGAATGCCCATCCTTCGAACTGACTGATTTACATGCTCTCGAAACCTCAACTTCATTGAGCATGTTTAGAATATAATTGATAGAGAAATATACTATACAAAAGGAACTATTAAATTTGTCCCAAGAAACTTTTAAATCTCTTGGTAAAAAGCATTCTGCCTTCTGCCTCAAGTGCTCGAGTTTTGCATGCTCAAACTGAAAAATCATATTGACTAAGAATTCATAAATCACACTTTTGTTTATAAGGTATTTCTCCCGCCTTCCTAGCGTGCCTTCGAGGTGTAGTGGCCAGCATACTGGGTTGGTATTCCAGAGGTCCGTGGTTCGATTCCCGACGAAGGCGTTGCTAATTTTTCATCTCTGTTGCTTCTAAAAAATCCTAATATCTTTACAGTGGCGCCCGAACTAAAGGGTTGTGGATGATGACTCTCCACACCCAGGATTTGGCGACTGGGTCCCCTAAAAACCCCAGTCGCCCTTTAAAAGGGGAAGTATATAAGGTATTTCTCCCGCCTTCCTAGCGTGCCTTCGTGGTGTAGTGGTCAACACACTGAGCCGGTATTCCAGAGGTCCGTGGTTCGAGTCCCGAGGAAGGCATTGCTAATTTTTCATCTCTCTTGCTTCTAAAAAATCCTAATGTCTCTACATGTTCAAAAATTTTAATTACTGAACTCTGCTTTAAAAGTTTGTTACTAATCTTTGATTTGTTATTCCGAATAGGTTGTTGAACACTTTGTGATAAATATTGGTTTATAAAATATCTTGTCATATTTGTCTGTACTCATCTGTAGGTTTCTTTTATACTAAAAAATTGAGCTCATGTTTAAGTTTTTGTCAATCAGTGTATATGTTTAGAACAAGATGTGTTGATCATCTTACTGAACGATAATATATATTTAAAAGTTAATTAATATTTAAAAGTGTCTTTAGTAATTATAAGCAAAGTGAATTTTTAAATGTTAGTGAAAATAGGGTGAAAAATTTGCAAAGAAGCTAAGAAAACGTAATTATCTATGAATGTGCAAAGGAAATAATTAAAGTAAATCAAACTCATTAAACACAGCAACCCGAGACAAACAATAAACTTTCTGTTCAGCCTGCATTGGTGAATCGTGGCCAATGATTCGAAATGGAAGAAGTAGTACTTCGATGTTAAAAATGTTTACTTACGTAACTTGATGTTTAAAATGAAAAGAATAAGTTTAGAAAGAAATAGAAGTTGTAGTAGAAAAATGTTACTATTATTTATTCATTGTTTTAGTTTATTTGAATATTTCCACTCACGCGAGAGCTGTATGCCTGAAGGTAGGGATACCTTCTTGAAGGACTTTATAAACGAAGGAAATTGGATCATATCCACGTTACACATGAAAACAATTCCACAAAAACGCGAATGCATTAAGCCGTTTTCCGGGGACCTTGAACCCATATAGAACTACTAGTATTCAGCCGTATCATGTGCTTTCATCATATACTTGATACTGAGAAACGACAATATTTTTGTAATACTAACGATTACGCTACAGAGCAATAACACATCAGTCCTTTTAACAATGTTTGCTAAAGCATTTCAAGAATGCATAAGGGTTTAAAAGGCAGAAGTTAAGAAATGTATATGCTGTCTTTCTTCAATTTTTAGTTAACCCCTTAGCCTACACGATATCTGCCAATTGCGCGAGGTATAGTAAACAAGAAAGTCGGTCGCGCGCCGTGCTATTCAACTGTTCAGCCGTGTACCCGAACAGGCGCAAAATGTATACTTTTCATGCCATATATATTTCAGTGTAATGAAAGGAATTGTGAAATAATAAGCAATGTTTAGGTGCAAATAGTAATTTTAAGACGTCTCGGGTGTAATCATAATCAATTGATCAGTTGACAAAAATAATTGCATGATGGGTATTATGGGCATAAGAGTTTGGCATGATGGGTATAAGAGATTTTTAATTCTTTATACGAAATTATATTTGAAACGTGTGAACGTAATGAAGTTTTATGGGGAACTAAAGTAACAGATCATCCAGTTTCGTCAGAAAAAAACTGAAAAAACAAAATACTGAAGTTATAATGAAAGGAAAAATATTCGATGTATAATAACTCCAATTTTTTGTTCTAATCATAATGCACAAATTTTATGCACAAATTCTTCACCACGAGTCAGATTCATGGCTTTAGTTTATGACACAAATTCTTTACCACAAGTCAGACTCGTGGCTTTTGTTTATGGCACAAATTCTTTACCACGAGTCAGACTCGTGGTTATAGGCCAAATGGATAAATAACATCTGAACTGATGTGGAAGTCAAAATGGTGACTGAAATTTTGTTATCGAAAGCATTATCAATATGATTGCGAGGTATTATCATTTCCATTTTATATGGTGTTGATACATGAATAGATATAATTTTGTATTTTAAAAATAAATAAAAAAAAGTATGCTATGTTATCACTGACATACAATGATTATGGTATTCTATGGTTTAAAATAGTACCCTTTGCTTTATCAGACATTTTTATTTTAATTTCTTCCGATATTTTTGTATCGTGAAACTATTATTTCATGCTCAGTTAAAACGAATGCTAATTTGTAAAATGATTCGTGAGAATAACATTCGTTTAGACGAACTTATTCTAAACGCGAAATGGTTTAAATTTAGTCAAACATTACTCAACAAATTTCAGTATTTTGTTGACTAATAAATAAGAAAGAATTAATTAATACTGATTGAGCCATGTACCTGGTAACTCTTAAAATAATTTCTTTTTTGTGTAGAAGTTCCCTCGTTGGTCTGAAAGTGTACTACAGTACATTCCAAGTTGAAAAAAACAGTGAAGTTGCTTCGTATAGCGTAAGTATTACGTATTTTATGATTTTTTCCCCTCCAAGCTTAGAATTTAGTACTACTTAAAATTTTTTATCATATATTTCAGTGGGAGACTCTGGTGGCTAATATAGGCGGAAATTTAGGATTTTTCATGGGACTGACTTTGATAACGTTTGTGGAAATATTGGAATTCCTATGGGATTTATTGTGCATGCTATTCAAGAAACTCATTAAACTGAAGCATCAGGATAACAAAGTGTTAACTTTTCCCAGTCCTTCGTGAAAATGGTCAGTCAACTTTCATCATAACGTGATTCACCAAGCAATTGATGTGATTTCAGCATCAGAAGAAGTATTTTGAAAAAAGAACTGGAAGAGGAAAATATCAATGATTAGACAATGAAAGCAAACTCAGTTTCATTATTCATATTCTATACCAAACTAAAGTTGCTTTTATGTGTAATTTTAAATTTTAAGCAACAGTTTCGTTTTCTTTATTTCAGTGGATAGCTTTGAGATGAAAATACATTTAATTTTTATATTCTTTGTGTTGTATTTTTGAAAACATAAAATGTATGATGTAGTTACAAAATGTAATTATTTTTAGGAAAGAAAATCATTTATTATGACAAAAATTAAACTTAGTTCCCAAAACCCTTTTACGTAATTTACTTCTTTATGTCTTAAAAATATTGTATGACTGGTTACTGTATTTTTTTTTTTTTTTTTTTTTTTTTTTTTTAAGCAAAAGCTTTCTTTTTAATCACGTAGTGCTGAAATGAAATTTCGAGTTTGTTCGAAATGTTCAGATCCTAAAATGCAAATTATCGACTTAAAAAATAATCATACATTCATCATCAGTATCATACATTCTGCTAATGGCATTACATCTCATAATATCTGAGTCTCACAACGAGGACAACAACATTGCATCTCATAGAGACGTAATTAACTGTGGCTCATGATAGCTCAGGTATACAAGCTAACAATGGTTTTGAGAAGCAACTCACGAGGAACTATATGATAAATTATTTTTTTACTTTCAGGTCATTAAATATTTTAGAAGTTTTAAATAAAATAAAAGCTTTAATTTTAAAAAACCTTTTTTAAAAATATTTTTTATCATTAGCAACAGGAGGGCTATTAGTCTCAAAATGGGATTTTGCATTGAATCACTGTAAAAGCCTGAATAACTTAATAATTAATTAATTGTTAACATTGTGATTATTAATATTGTGATTAATTGTAATAGTCTGAATAATTGTTGACACCAAATATTATCAACCTTTATTATATTTAAAGATATTAAATGATGAAGACTTTTCATGAATGTATGCATGTTTTTCGCATTTTGAAAAACCAAAGGTACCTAGAGCCTTCAAATTTTGAATAATGTAGTACTCCACCCGAATACGGACACCTGGAAGGCCGCATTTTGAATTTCGAATTTGTTTTATTGTGTATTTCCTATTTTATAAAGCTTTAACGAACTTTTGATCAACAAACTCAAAGATTTCAAAGCGAGCAATGGCAGCACTGTGCGGGGAAAAAAAAAACATTTTTATCATTAGCGCGCGAATGTCTATCGCTCCAACAAGATTGTCTATCGGAAATTTTAAGATAGGCTGTTTTAAAATATTTTTAGCTCAAAGGAACATTATCCCAAATGCTCTCGAAAGGTGTATGTATATGTAAATGAAAAAAATCTGGAAGTTTTCATATATATACTTGTTGTATTGAGACTTTTTACGCCTACTGATAATATTTCCCATTAAAAATAAGCTTTCCATACTAATCGCAGTAAAACATTCTCAACCCATCATGCTTATACCCCCGTAAGATAACACGTTTTTCGAACTCAATTCTTTAATTTTGTCGCAACACAGTAATTCATCCATCAGATTCAAGCACATTACAGTTTGATTCTTTTGCAAACATTACAACATATCAGTATGATAAAGCTTTGTGTATCGTGAGATTCAATCGCAAATTCCTAGGGTAACTTCTTTTTCTTCTTTACGAAGAATATCTTTCTTAACATTCAGCAACTGGATTTAAATAATGTAAATGTTGTAACTGCAAATGCTATGATGACTTGTCTGGCAGTTTCAGGATTAACATTTCTACGAACTTCTTCAACTTTGTTACAAGTTTTACAACACAGTCTTGTGATTTTCTTGATTTTCCACAGAGAAAAACCTTTGATTCCTTAAAGTTAAGCTATGCACTCATGACGTTAATAGGCGTTTTCAGCTGTTCCGCTTAAGAAGTATCGTTTCGTAATACTTGTATTAAAGAAGTTAGAACGCTTTGCGATCTTCATACTGCTAATATCTTTACCGCGTCTACAATGTAGCATAATAAAATACCTAATAGAATTTTAGCTACTTTTACTGATCAGGTTCACTTGAAATCTGAAACTATTCAAATCTTTATCTAAAGAGCTAACAATTTCAAATTATGTGGAATAAATATTATAGTGTATTTCCATTAAAAATTTTAAAGGTTTTTAAAAAAAACTATCATCTGAAACAAGCAAACAAAACAAAAAAAGCTGATGTGTACACCACATGACTTCTTTGTACGGAATATTAAATTATGCGCATTTTTTCCTGAATTTTATACTTATTGAATTGAATTAAATCTACTTCGTAGATAGAGCATAAACCACAATAGAACAATTGCAGTCTTTAATAATCACTATATTTATTTGCCATAGCGACACTCTGGCGCTAGGTTCATTTAACAGCGTTATATCTCATTCATTTTAGAACTCAGAAATGCACAAAAATTTTTATCATCTGAAGAATTATCTAATCGTTGCCGTATGTGCTATTCAAATTCTACAATAAATCTAAAATGATGTATAAAAGAAGTTAAACAAGTGAATAAGAAACAGTTTTTCACAGACTATTCTGCGCCGCTTACCTCCGCTTCCTAATGCGCTTGCGCTACTCGTAAACATTATCCTCTGTTCAAGACAGACTGGCGACAATATTTGCTGCTAATCCGAAACACTTATTTCCTCGAATTACATTGGAGATATATTTCTCATTATTTTATTTCAGTTCTCACTTCGTAACATGGCAAAAAACATAAAAACTCAAAATATTTTCATTAAAAATTGAAAGATATAGAAAAATATAAAACACCAAATACAGTTAAAACAATTAAATAAACAGTATTTACAATTAAAATTACAATTTCTACTCAAAAACAAACAATTCGGCCAGCAGGCAAGAAGGCAGATTTTTCGGTGCACAAAACTAAATGTTACCTTTTGGTCCCACTCGGCAAAAAGCATTGAAACAGCACAAACTGACTTAATTCACTAATCTGCTAAGTTTCAAATGTAAAGAAATATGGCTGTTACGGTTTAAAAAAAAAAGGCTTAGCCGCACTTGAAAAAATTTTGAATTGTTGACACTTCTACAAATGTTGCATGCAGATCAACTAAAGGCATAAAAACCTTAACCAGAAGATAAGAACAATACAATCGTTTTTAAAGCAAAAAAGGCACAAATTACCAACATATAAGAATAACAAAACTCAGCTCACTAATGCCGAGTAACAGAGTGGATATATATATGTAAAAGATTAAATTAGCAGCTTAATCCTCTTCTGTATTCTAAAAATAGTAACCTCTATTTGCACTGCGACATTTCGAGACTAATCTTTGTCATATGATTCTTACGTAATTCTGATGATGTAAATGGAACTAAAACTCAAACAGCCAATAGTATTTTTACGGCAATATTAACTATCCTATCAAAATGCATTGAGAACCGAAACTAAGTCTGAATTAAGATTTCACCCTGAGTGTAACGCAATTGCTTTCTACGCTTTGTCTGTCTGCTTCTTCTTTCTCACTGCAAATTTATCTAAAATGTGAAACTTAAAAAAATTATTTTGTGTCTTCGTTAAAATGAAAACTAGACATTAAACTTGGCTGCAATTTATGCCATCTATTTTACAATGTTGATGTTTTCAAGGACTTCCAAGTATTGGCAGCACAGTGCACCGCATCTTCAGTACTGAACTTTTTTATGAAATTTTGTATGGGAGGGGTGGCTGTATTAACTAAAATCATTAATAGGGATCGATATTTATTAACAGGTATTAATATTTACACTTATAGACACTTTAATATTATTGTTCTGGGACTGAATTAGTGATACACAATTTGATAAGAAATACACAGCAAAAATATTATTTTTCAGTACAGGATCCGTTTTAAAATGCGCCGAACGATTATTTAAAATAAGAATTATCTAACATTTAGGATCTAGTTCAACCGAGTTATGGTAAGCCGTTGCCTCAGGAATGAAACATTTTCGAAACCAATGAAATATAACTGCAGTGGTAAACTCGGCCCAGGGTAAGACAGCTGAATAAGGGAAGTTTGACCTGGGTTGAATCACATTCGAACAGGCTGGTTGTATTGTTTGTTTTTGTTATTTTTTTTTCTAATTGTACCGTGAATACAAGCCAGTCTTTCATAAAAAACCCTCTACTAAGGCACCCCTCATGTGCTTTTGCCGTATTCAAATAATCTAATTAGTGATAACACACATGTTCTTGTTGGCACGATAATGAACTGGAAACTCTGTCATTTCTTTGAAGTCCTTTAAGATTGGATTTGTGTTTATCGATTGCCGGATTTTAAGGTTCATCTATATGTATGAAAGCAATCTGAAATCATTTTTTATTATCTAGCAAAAGTTTTTTTAGCAAGTGAATTTCAAGAGCAAACGCAAATTTTAGACCTGAAATAGAGTTTGTTTTCACAGTACCCCATAAAAAAATATTAAATTTTACAGTACCCCATATTAATCTGCTGTAAATTGGTAAAGGTACTTATATAGTCCTTTCTATAAGCGAAGTGGCATAACATTTTACATAAGTGTGTTTTCTATCCTCTGTATGTGTGTCTAAAATACGGATCCGATTTTGTTTTACTATTTCATTATTTTTTGTCCCGGTGTTTAATTTCAGATTTTTAAAGACCTGCTCCTGATTTTAGCACAATCATCATAAATTCAAAAATATTATGCTCCTCTAAAGGCGTTTTGTAATATTGCAGAAAACGTATGCAGGTGTTTCAGTGTGTACATGAGAATTTGCATGTATTGAAAACAGTGTTTCTTTGAATTTTTAGAGCTTCTATTGAACCGAAATATATCAACAGAATCTTTATCTTTCCCATTATACGTTTGAAGAAAAATAATGTAGAATCATCAGTTTTTTTTTTTTTTTTTTTTTTTTTTTTTTTTCTTTTTTTTTTTTTTCTTTAAGCAGGAGACATTAAAAATGTGCATTGCCCTCGCCGGGACTCGAATCTGGACCTCTAGAAAACGTACCGAGTGTACTACTGTTACCGTTACGCCACGAACGAATGCCAGAAGAAGGGAGAAAATACATTATCGTAATATTATGAAAAATCTGATCTTGACAGAATAGCATTAAAATTATATCATGTACAATAATTGTACTACCTGTTCAGTTATAGTAAGTGTGCGTGTCTGAAATATGAATTTACTGTTATTTCATTATATTTTGGCTCAATGGAAACTTTTATATTAATGTAAGTACTAGAGTGCAGTATCAGCCATTTAATAATGAAATAAAACAG